CACGACGTCGGTCTTCACGATGGTAGGGTGCGGTAACGTCAGCAAGTCACGTTGCAGCCGGTCTCCCATGGTGGCCATATGCTCGCGCAGCTGAGGTTTGAGGGAGTCGCGGACGTAGCGACCGAACGAACTGGGGAAGTCCCTGACGAGGTTGAGCAAGATCGGGCCCACGTCATAGGGCTCACGGAGCAAATCACCAGCAGCACCAGCAAGTTCTCTCCAGTCCTCCAGAGGATCGTGCCGAGGAAAATCATCATCAGCAGTGGGAGATGGCGATCCCAGAGGGGCAGCAGGGCAGTGGTCAGGTAGCGAACGAGACGGCGAGGCCCCAGGCGGTCCGCGCGGCGCAGCAGCCTGCAAAGGAGCGGCCGCTGCAGCCCGGGCGTCATCAGCAGGGGCATCGTCACCATGCGCTCTCACCGCGCCGCCGCCAGGGGGCCAGCCCTGCGGCCGCCAGGCGGGCGGGGCCGCGAGCCGTTGGCTCTCCCTGCGTTGCGTCCCCTGCCGCCGCGGCGTCTCGGGCGACCGCGCCCTGCTCCCTGGGGCGCCGCCGCCGCCGCTGCTGGCTCGTCCTGCCTGAAGGTGTGGCGCTCGGGGCTCCCCGCCAGCGCAACTCGGCGCGGGTGAGGGCTGTCCCCTCGGGGGGTCCGCTCCGCCTGAGGGGGCGGAGTCCGCGCGCGGGGGCCTGAGGGCGCTGCGGCGGGCCCCTCCTCGGCCCGAGGCGCTGCGGCTGGCGACCCTGGAGCGCGAGCGGGGCTGCCCCCTCGGAGCGGGAAGTAGCGGAACCGTCCGCGGCCTCGACCCTTGCCCTTCCCGCGCGAGAGTTCCCGCGCTGGCTGAGGCGCGGGTCGAGAGGGGGAGCGCGGCCGTTGGCCCTCCCGCGCCCCCCCCTCGGGTCACCCGCGCCCCTGGCCGCGGCCGAACGCCCCGAAGGCTCCGCGGCTCTTGGCATCCTCCAAGCGCCTCCGCAGCAGCGCCGAGCGCCGCGCCAGATCCTGCTCGTCCATCGACGCCAGCGACGGCCTCGCGTCTGGGACAATCTCGAGCTCGCTCGCAACCTGCCAGCCCGCGTCCGACAGAGAGAGCTCTAGCGCCTTGAACCTCTGCATCAGCACGTCGCTCTCAACTGCGGCAGAGCGCCGCTCTCCAACTGGTCCAGCGCTGTCGCCAAGGTCTGGAGCTCGCGCACCGTGTTGATCCGCAGCTGGGACACGGCGTGGTGGCCGAACACGATGGCCTGCAAGTAGCCGACCACCTTCGGCCTCGTCTCGGAACCGTCCGCCCCCTCCCGCAGGCCCATGGCGCGGGCGATGTTCTGCATCGCCTCGTCGTAGAGCGCGCCGGGCTGTCTCTCCGCCAGCAGCCGTGCGCTGCCGCCGCGGGAGGGGGCATCTCGAAAACGCGGCTCGCCTTCGCCGTCGCTGCGGCTGCCAGACTCGCTGCGAGCCCGTCGCCTGCCGCGGCCAGCCACGCCGCGGCCGCCACCGCCTCCGACCGCAAGCGCGCGGGCAGCTGCAGCGGCTGCCAGGCGGTCGGCGGCGGGTCCGCCAGGGATGGGAGCGGGACCGCCTCGACCAGCTCCACCACCACGGCCGCCGAAGGCGCTCGGCCGCACCCAAGGCTCCACCAGGCCGCGCGTCGAGCGCAGCCGAAGCCACTCGACGTGCAGGACGGCCCGCCCTGCCTGCGCAGGCTCGCCACACCGCGCAGGCCCCTGCGCGCAGAGGTGCAGCAGCCCAGCAGGACCGCCGCCGCGCGGAGGGAAGGCGCCGTCAAAGCGCATCGCCTCAGCAGGCAGGGACGCGCCTCTGAACTGCGCGCTCAGATACTGGCCTCCAGCACCGGGCACGCCGACCTCGTCGATCTCGAACAGCGCGGTCCCACTGATCGCCCCCGCCACGTCGTGGGTCGGCAGCTCGACGGCCAGGCCCTGGCGCCAGTTGGCCCCGACGAGGGCGGCTGCCTGCGTCCAGGCCCCGTCGACGAGCCCGCCAAGCTGCACTCCTGCAGCTGGGACGACCGCACCTCCCAACACGCCGAGGGCAGCGCCCGGTCCTGCGGGCCCCGCGCCAGGCGGCGCGCCCGCGCCTCCAGCTCCGCCAGCGCCAGCAGCGGCCAGCGCGCCAACCAGCGCCGCTCCGACGCCGCCCCCGCCGCCGCCGCCAGCGCCGTCGCCAGGCGCCCCGAGGGCAGGGGGGGGCGCGCCTGCGGCGCCCGCGCCAAGGGCTCCAGGCAAGCCAGGGAAGCCGCCGAGCCCGGGCACCACCGGCGCACCAGCCGCGCCGCCTCCAGCGCCTCCGCCAGCCGCAACTCCAGCCGCGGGCGCGAGGCCGCCTCCGAGGCCGACGGGCGCACCTGCCGCTCCAGCAGCCGCGCCTGCGCGCCCGCGACCGCGCCGTCCTCCGCCATGTCCAGCGCCTCGGCCGCGGGCGGCAGCGGGAAGCACAAGAAGAGCCTTCGCCTTCGCCTTCGCCTTGGCCTTGGCCTTGGCCTTGGCCTTGGCCTTGGCCTTGGCCTTAGGCGGCATCGGGCGACAAGGTCGACAGCCGTGATCTGCGCCGCCAGCAGCCGCGCCTGCTCAACGAGCAGCGCCCGCTCCTGCGGTGCCAGCCGCGCCTCGCGCGCCCCCTGCCGCGCCAGCGCGAGGAGGTAGCACAACTCGCACACCTCCAGGAGCGCGCCGCCCTCCGTGAGGGCCAGACCCTCGCCCTCGGCGAGCCGCCCGGTGCACCAGCCGCAGATCCGAGGCTGCTGGGCCCGCGGGGCAGCGAAGCGCGCGGTGGCGCAAGCAGGGAGCATCCCAGGCCCTCGAGGCCCTGAGCCACAAAGGCTGCCATGCATTCTGATGCGGCCAACGTTCGCTCATTACCCCTCCGCCCACACATTGACCGTAAACGTGTTCATACATATATATATATATATAATTATATATATATGCATGCATGCATGCATGTATGCATACATACATACCGTACACACGTGCATACATACATACATAAGTACATTCGCAGTGGTTCCAGAGATTGTCCGAGTCTCGCCTCTACTGGCTCCTCACAGCCTGAGATGGTCGAAGAGGCCTCCCAAAACACGCCCCCACAGCTCTGTATGCCCCCGGGAGACGCCCTGAAACCCAAGAGGGGCCCAGCATGGCCCCAGAAGACTGCGCCTGCGGCGACGACGACGGCGACGACGACGGCGGCAGCGACGACGACGGTGACGGCGGCCGCCGCAGCGGCAGCGCAGCGGCAGCGCAGGCGCGGAGGGAGGGAGGGCCCGCCGCTCCAGGCGGCTCGGCGAAATGGCCCACGGGTCCCTTCGCGTCCTCGTGCTGCGATAACCTGCAGTCCCGAAACGGTGCGGTGACGGACCGTGCGGTGACCTCGAACCCCCCCCCAAGACCTCACCGCACGGTCCGTCAGCGCACGGTTTGGGGAGCTCGGAGGCCCCCGTCGCCCGAGACGTCCTCGGAGAGCGGCCCGAGTCCCAAAACCGTGCCGGCGACCCCGAATCCCCACCGACTCACCACACACGGTGTGGTCACCACCCCGCTCTGGGGCCCCCGACGGCAGGAACACGCACCAGGAAGAGCAAGAGGGGCGCTTCTGGCCACGGCGGCTCCAGGCCACACGACGGGGCTCCACGGCGCAAAAACCTGCCTCCGCCTCCTCCTCCTCCTCCTCCTCCTCCTCCTCCTCCTCCTCCTCCTCCTCCCTCCTCCCTCCTCCCTCCTCCCTCCTCCCTCCTCCCTCCTCCCTCCTCCCTCCTCCCTCCTGGGGGACGGCCCGAAACCCCGAGAGCCGCTCCCGAGCCGAGAACGGTCCTCGCGTCGGCGTCTTCGCTGCACCGCCTTCGGACACACTTTTGCCAGACGTCCGTCCCTGGGTGGTCCCTGCCGTCGCTCGGACGTCCAGTTCCCGTGCATGTTTCGGTTTCGTGCGTGTGTTTGTTTTTGCTCGATGGTCCTGGATGGTCCTCGATGGTTCTCGCCGAGAAAAAATGCACACGTCTGGGCGATGCCAAGTGGTGAGGCGGGGGGCCGGTTCCAGGCCCGGCCGGCGCGCTCCTCGCCGGCCGGCGCCCTCCAAGTGCGCGACACCAGGTGCCAAGCCGTGCGGCACCCGATGTCACGCGGCAGCGTCTCCCTTCGAGTGCCCGCGCTGGTGCACAGTGCGCAGCGTGCTGCTATCATGTGAAGGGGCCCTGGGACACACAAATAAATACACAAATAAAAGGATTCCCCATATTTCCCCATACTTTCTGGGTTTACGTCTTCCCCCCACTGCCCCCATGTATTTTCTGGGGGATCGACGATTGATCGTGTCTGTGTGTTTCTTCCCCTCCTGATCATGGCCCTCTCTGCAGCTTTTTGCTCCCTGGGCTCAAGGCTGGTGTACTCCAGATTTCGTAATAAAGGGAGGGGGGTCTCATTTCGGGGGGGGGGTCTCTTCCAGGCTATCTTGGAGGGCCTGGGGGGGTCTGGGGACAATGTTTTGGAGGCTTCTCCCACAGGGGGAGGTCTGAAATGGCTTGTCTTGGAGGGTCCAGACCCCCTCCCTTTTATTACGAAATCTGGGGTATCTGGCTCGCGGTGCGCTGCCGGCACGGCGTGCGGCTCGCAGCCACGGCGTGCGGACACGGGGGGACCTTCACGGGCCGAGCATCGGCCGCCGCCCCTCGTGTGGCCCGCCCCTCCCGCGGCCGCCCGCTCCGTCTGATTCCATCATCCTGCCGTGCCGGCGTGTGGATCTGGCTCTAGCGACGCGCACATTCCCACACGTCTGCGGCAGGGTCAGAGCTTCGCACAGCCGAGATCACGAGAGCGGTGCTCTGGCAAGAGCTTGGACTGGTCAGGGCGCCAAGCGTCACATTGATATTCGCGGCGTTGGAGTCCCAGGCATGGCGTTCTGGCAAGATCTAGGGCTGTCAGGGCGTACCCATCGGTCGGAAGAAGTAGGTAGAAACATAACATAGGAAGGCGTCGGAAATAGATTGGGTTTCCGCCCGCCTCCTGAAGAGGAAGGAAGAGGGAAAACCACTCGACTCTTGAAGCAGGAAGGCGCTGCAAGTAGATTGGAATCTGGGAATCCAAAAATACCTACTTTCAACGACCGATGTGTAATGCGCCGTCCCAATGGCCCCGAGCTGCTCGATCGATCTGCGCGATCGCCAGGTCCGCAACAAAAAAAGAGTGTCTCTTGCCCCCGCCAGCGCGCCTGAATTCACGCACCGGTTGGGAACGGGGCTCCAGGCATCAGAGTCGGCGTGAAAACGCCGACGGTCAGAGCGCCAAGGCTACAGCCAGATCCCCGGAGGAATTGAAGAAATCGGGAGGTCACGTATAACTCGATGCGCAAGAACCCTCGAGAGAGCCGATCGACCCGCGAAAAGGAAGTGATGACTTGGATAGAAATCGCCTGACGACCGTCAAAGCCTTCAAGAACATAGAAAGGGGCGCGCACTGTATCCGACTGGGCCACCTCTCGGACCTCAACCTCAGACTGGAAAGACGCGGCCTGATAGAACACACTCCTGAAACCTTTGATCCAACAAATTTCCCAAACATGCGATGTCCTGAAATTTCTCAGTACGGGTCGTCGTCTCATGAAGACGCATGCTTTATTTCCGCCAGCTTCCGCGGGCCTTCCGCTTGTGCGCCACCGTGCCGCTGGGCACTGAATTGGCGTGTCCTTAGGTCCCTCGCCCAATTCCCTGAGCCTCAGTCCTCGGTCCAAAGGACGTTTTTAAAGAGTCTGGGCCCCATACTTTCAAATCTACTGGGGCTCCCGGCGTGCTCCCTGGGGTTCCCCGCGTCTCCCCGCGTGTTTTGTTCGGGCCCAAGAGGGTCACAAGACGGGCCAAGAGAGTCCCAAGAGACTCCCGTTTCGAGATCGCTCCAACACGCTCAAGACGGCCCTCAGACGGCGCAAGAGGTCCCAAGACGCCCCAACAGGTCTCCCAAGAGGGCTCCATGAGGCCAGAATCATGGATTTTCCTTAGGTGTTTACAAATTGTGGGCGTTCTCTCCTTTTCTGCTTCCCGACGCTCCCAGACGGTTCTAGAGGCCCCCAAGCTCGCCCCAAAACGGCCCAATAGGCCTCCAAGAGGGCACTCAAATGGCACAGGAGGGTTGCAAGACGGCCCAAGAGGCGCCCAAGACGGACAAAGAGGCTCCAAAGACGGCTCCAGGAGGGGGCCCAGACGGGGGACCCGAAAGGACATTTCGAGCCCTCGGTCCCGACTGGGTCTCTAGCAGGCTCCAAGAGGCTCCAAGAGGCCCCAAGAGGTCTCCAAGACCCTAGAGGCCCCAAGAGGCCCTTAAGAGGCCCCCAAGAGGCTCCCAAGTGGCCCCGAAAACTGCCCCCAAGAGGCCCCCGAAAGCGCTTCGAGAAGACCTCAATAAGCATCCCTGAGAACTCTGGCCCACCAGGCACCAGTGGCGGGATAGGCCGAAGGCCACCATTCGATGGAAAAAAAAGCACGCCCGCCCGACAGACCATCGCGCAGTGAGCAGACAGCGTGCGGGCTTTTGCGGCACCGCGCCTCGTCCAGAGGGGCCTCGTTCTCGGCCACCGCGACGCTCACGGCGTAGCGCAGGCTGCGGAGGCGGCGCCGAGCCTCTCGGCGATCCGCGCGGTGGGGTGCCGCAGGGGGGGGGGGGGGGCCAGGCCGTGCTTCGAAGGACTAGGTCACCCGACTTCGCGCATCGCGCCCCGCGATGCGCGACGCGCGATTCTCTTCGCGCCCTCGCGCCCCCCCCCGCCCCCTCCACTCGGACAAGGGCAACTGCTCTGTCCTCTGGCCCCAACCGCGACGCGCGAAGTGAGAGATCATCCTGGCGCCCCCGCGCGTGACCTAAGAAGGCGTGGAGCTTCTTGCAGGCAGAAGCCTTCCCAGAAGGGCCCGGAGACCTTCGAGAAGGTTCCTTGAGACGCCCCTGGGGTCCTTCTGAGGGGGCCCCTGCCTTCTGAGAAGCCCCGCCGCCTTCGAAAAAGGCCGCCCTCCTCGCGCCATCTCCCTGCCCAGATCCCCGACACCTGGAACCCAGATGCTCCGCGCCCCAAAAAAATGGGTAGCGTTGAACAACCTTGTCAAAAATGGGGCTCAACCGGTATAACCTGTAAGATGGGGCGCCGTGGGGTACGCTCGAACGCACAAAAATGGTGCGCGATCAGAGGAAAGATGGGGCGCGACATGCGTCGCAAAATGGGGCGCAGCTGATCCAGAGATGGGGCGCAGATGTTTGGCGATGTTGATCTGACGTTTGGCAAACGTCAGACCAACGTGCGTGCTTGACCGTCCGACGCGTGTTATGCGTAGGGCGTTTGATCTGAGCCGCGTGTTGTTCATCATCATCATCATCATCATCATCATCATCATCATCATCATCATCATCATCATCAGCATCATCAGCATCATCATCATCACCATCATCATCATCATCATTATCATCATCAACATCACCAGCATCATAACCATCATCATCAGCATCATCGTCATCATCATCGCCATCATCATCATCATCCTCCTCCTCATCATCATCATCGTTATCAATATGTTCATCATCATGTTCATCACAATCAACATCACGAATACATACTGCACCATCACCACCCCAATACTTGCATCACAATCACGATCAGCATCGTCATTGCCATCGTTACCAGCATCATCATTATCGCCACCACACATAGTCACCATAATCGTCATCACCGTCATCGGTCATACAGATGTTGAGAGGGATCGGGGGGAGGAGCGAAGAGGCAGGAGCGGGGATATGCATAATGCAAGTGATAAAGTGG